GTCAAATAGTTTTAATTTAATTTGCATAGTTAAGATTTCGATATTTCATTCTTAAAACTTATGAAGGCATCCATCCATTACCAGCATACCGAAATACCATCAAATATTCGGGTTGTTTCCATGTTTTAAGTCAATACATATATGAGTGCTGCCAAGGGAAAAGGCCGAGGTGCCCTTTTCCAAGCTTACTACCGAAGTCTATCAGTTGTTGATTCAAATTAACCAATCACACGAAAGATATCTAGGATTATAATACGGATAATCCTTATCCGTAATGCATTACGGATCTATCCTTAAAAATTAACAGCTACGGATATCCGTATTTAATCCGAATTATCGGATCCATCCGAATTGATCGGATACGGATCGAAACACTAGATATTATTTAAGCTTTAGTAACTTGTGCTATAATATTAATCAATACTTGCAATTAGTAGCATTTTAAATCACTATTATCATTTATTTCTGCACTTATTTTTTATTGTTAAAGCTTGCAATAGCTTCGTCTTCAGAAGGCAGCTCATCCGTGTCTTGTGACGACAATATTGACACATATGATGTTATTTTGTTAGGCGAAATGTCGCAAGAAGATAGAATTGGCGGTGAACTAGTGGGTGAGTGCGGTGTAAAGCGTATGTCAGGTGTCGCATCTGGTTGAATTGGCGGTGAACTAGTGGGTGAGTGCAGTGTAAAGCGTGTGTCAGGTGTCGCATCCGGTTGAATTTCTTGAGAACAATCTGTGATAGGTAAACTATCTGTGATAGGTAAACTATCTGCGATAGGTAAACTAAGTGTGATAGGTAAACTAAGTGTGTCAGGTGTCGCATCTGGTTGAATTTCTTGAGAACAATCTGTGATAGGTAAACTAATATATATTGTATTAATAGCAAATTAATTATTGGAATAATATTAAGCATTAAATTAAATATGATCATTAATATCGTACCCTAGTTGCTTCAGCAAACGGATTCGAATTGCATTTATCGACCTATGCTCATTAGAAAATCCTCCGAGAACAGTTACATTTTCAGGTCCAAGAAGTAAAACACCTCGTAAAATCAAAGCTTTACTAACTGATATCTATAAAGAGTAAATGTTTATTGAGAATGTACTAATACTTTTTAAAGATCTTTAATTACGGGTGATTTTTTCTATTCCTACACACCTTTATTCCAATTGGAGTAAGTAAATTCAGATTTGAAAGGGGTCTGTATTCAATAGCGTCAACTGATTGATAACCATCAGTTAATTGGAACTTAAGCATACCCCGTGGGAATTGAATCGATTCATATTGTCTATCACTTAAATCGTTATATTTATGACCCTGTTTCACAGAACCTGACAAGTAGCTATTTACTACATCAAGAAGTGATTGTGCAGAAACTCCAACTTCAAATATATCGGCTATTTGAAGTATAATTGGCTGACGTTCACCGATGATAATTTTGTGCTTATCTTCAATTAATGGAGGAAGATGTGGTTCCATGGATTTATTCAAGTCAGAATCTAAGAACTCATTATAAATTGTCTGATAAAGTCGTTGGTTGTCAAGATTCGCGTTTTCGGAGTAAGGGAGACGTGATTGTAACCAAGTATCCTGAAGATAAACATTATGAAGGGTTTCAAATTGATTTTTTATTGACGAGGATGCCATAACACGTAAAAGTTTGTTTTTATTAGCATGAGATTTTTTATGTTACACGATTTTTTTTATACAGTACCCGGACCAAGATCTCGGAACTTTATGCTTTCAAAATTAGCTGAATGATTTTTCCAACTAGGAAAACTTTTCATCCAATCAGAATATATCACGTGCCGGACATCTAGATCATAAGTCTTATTACAACGAAATCAGCCACCAGGGCCATGGAGAATATATGGGCTGCCGTCAATAGAAATAAGGCAGATTGACATTTTAAAAAAAATTAATACCTTAACTTTCACATCTCAT